TAACTAATACAGCTTGTTTTTGTTACTGTTTCTGCCCTTCCTTCCATCCTCCTCTAGTCTCCTTTTCTCTCTTTCTTCTTTTTTGGACCTGTGCTCTACCCCATCCCTCCTGTCAGTTGGGGTTCCAGACCTCCCCTTTTCCATTCTTACTGATATTATTAAACTTAGTTCATGTTTATGGCATAGAATGTTTGTATTCATCGAGGCCATTAGGATCCTGTACATGGTTTATCTTTATTCTACTTATTTCTCCACTCCCTCTTTCTTACCCTTTGCCCTTGATTCCTTGGATGAGATCATTTCCTTGTCTCCTTCCATCCTTCCTTTATTATTCTCTTTGCCTGTACTTTGTCTTAGAGAATATGGTCACCTGCATACCTTCAAGTTCCGACACCTCCTCACACTGGTCACTTCTGCTGCCCATAGTTTTGATAGAATTTTTGTCCCCTGGATTTCTGTTTGGTACCTTTACATTGACTCTAATTCTCTTTTAAACTGGTCATGAATGTTTTGAATCATTTTATTTAGCTCAGCTAGCTTTTTCTTAGTGCCTTCTGTAAGCTCACTATCAATTTTTCTTTTTTAAGTTCACTATCTATTTATAGTTATATCATCTTTGAACTTGCTGAGCACATTATTGCTTTTTTCTGTCTCATCTTTTGTGGCTTCATATAGTTTAGCTGTTTAGCTTTTGATTTCTTCCCCATCCATGTCCCCTTGATCATCTTTGCTGGAGTTGAGAATTTTGGAGGCATTTTGTTGCCTTATTTGCTCATGTTCTTATTTGTTGTTCTTCTGAGGGTTGCAGATCAATTAAAGTAGAAACACTTTGTTGCTAGTTGCTAGTCTCTTTAGTTAGTGACTGCCATCCAGTGATGCACTGTGGGCGTGGCTAACTGTAGGCTTTGTGTCTGCCCCAAGGTCTGACCACCTCTATTATTTTGAGAAGGAAGGGTACAGTGTAATTGGCTCAGCACCAGGTTCTCTGGAAACAAGCTGCAGTATTGTTGACAAATCATATAGTGGCATATAGTAAAAACCAACTAATAGCAAGCAATATTCCACTCTGGCAGTAGCAATTAAATCAACAACAGTAATAGAGTCAAAGACAAACTGTACATTGACATACCATTAAAACCAATAAAAACTACCATGCTACCACCCTTAATAACAGAAAAGAGATCCATAATAATACAGATACAAAAACAAATCAAATATTGACTTACAGTAAATATCTACTAAATGAAACAACTCTATCACCATTAAAAATACAAAATAATTCAACAATAACAGTACAGTGTTAACTAAATATCTAAAGATTAATAAAGCTTAACAGTAATACTGGTAAAGACAAAGGGTGAAGAAAGGAAAAATGAGAGAAGTAAAATTTGAAAAACAACAGAAAGAATGGAAGGAGAAGAGAGGTGAGCCCAGTCCTGCCCTCAAGCAAGCTCAGCCCTGGCCGTCATTTTCACGGCAACCCCACTGGAGGCCTGCAGGGCCTTGGTGTTATGCTTCCAGACCTGCAGGAACTGAGGTGGCATGTTTGCTGTTTTCAACAGCTAAATCTGGGGGTCATCAATAGACAATTAATTCAAAAGGAGGAAGAACTCTTTTGCTGTACTCAGTTCTTCATTCTCCATGTATCCATATAACCAAGCCATATCAATGCTTTTTGTGTTTCTAAAAATCTAATGGGTTGAAGAATTTGAGAGAAATGAATAAAATATTATGAGACAAATGAAAGTGGATATGTAAACAAAATAAAGCACAGTGGACAGGCCATCTACTAAAATCCACATCTCTAGAAATCACATTTTTTTTTCTTTTTTAAAAATTGAGACAGTGTCTCACTTCATTGCCTAGACCGGTCAAAAACGCTGGGACTCAAGAGAGTTTTGTGCTTCAACCTCCTAAATAGCTGGAACTATAGGCATGCGACAGTATGACCCAGAGATATGTCTCAAGTTTTAGTCAGATGTAACAGAAAAACATTAGAAAAGAAGATGATGCAGTAATTTAGATGCATGGGAATTTAGTACAATCACTAGGATCAGGAATTCTGCCATTTAATAGCTGGCCAAAGGTGAATTATATAACTTATTTTCATATGTGGAGATATTCATAACTAATATCACTTAATTTTACATGATAATAAATGTGCTAATATATACCAAAGACTTAGTAAGGTAGTTGGCAAGTAATGTTAGTTAATATTCACGTTATTATTAACATAAATAATACTCTACTAGAACATTAACATTAGGGACGCCTGCAGCGTGTCCCTGTCTCTTGCTGGGTGTTACTACACACAGCAAAAATAAAGAGCAAGAGACAAAATGGTGGTGCAGTGGGGACTTGGGTTGATCAGTTGTTCACAGGGAATGAAAGGCCATCAGGTGGCCAGAGCCTTGACATTTATTGATTGAGGAAGATGGTGAGGGGATTATTGAATTCCAGAGGGCAGTGGTGGTCTTATGCTGACAAGGGTTTTTATGTTGATGAGCACCGTGAGGAGAGGGAGCAGTTGACCAGGGAGTTTGTCCTTTCCCCAGGGTCAAAGATTGTTCTTATTACTACTCATCTCAAGGAACCAGAACGTGTTCAGCTGATGCAGCTTGGCCTAGGGTGTCACAGCGTCACAGACTGTTGAGATCTCAACTGTGACCAGAAGCTCGTAGAATTACATTTCTGCATACCGTATTCAGCTCTCATGGCAAGGCACTAGACCTCGGAGAAGCCTTAGTCACAACTTAATTATGAAATTATTTCTCCCGAAGTTATATAGTCCTTGATACACTGGTACATAGAAGAAACAGTTGATAAGTAGTATGGAACTGTGATATGCCTTGAGATTCATTTTTATCAACTCGTGAGGTGTCAAGACTTGGATTCAAATAGTAGTTCAAAAAACTTGAACTTCAAACTGATTGGTAGAATGTTAGATCATTGAGGCCAATAAAACGAAAGTAGTCCTGAAAAATACTCTCATGTTTCTGAACTTACTGAGAAAACGAATTCCTGTAGGAAACAGTAAGGATAATATCATATACTATGCCTGATAGTATACTTGGTTTATACCTACAAATGAACATACACCTACAAACTCAAGGTAAGCGCTCAGTAAAGTACAGCTGTGGTTAGCACTGGTTTTCCAGATGTTTCTGTTTGAGATGCCCATGTCCCTTGAGTGAATCGCTGCCCTCCCATGGGCATTTGTGTGCACTGCCTTGCAGTGAGCCCTCTGGGCTGAGGAACTCGTGACCTTTTCTGAACATAGAGTGCTTCTGTCTCTTCCTCCTCATCTTCTGAATTAAGCCTCCATTCTTAACTTTAACCTTTCATCTCTGAATTTCAACTTTGATGCTTCCCACTTCCTTCCTATGGTTACTTTAATCGAAGTGAGTCAGGTTTTACTGAAAAAATGACCACAAGCAGTCAGCTCCCACCAGCCCCTGGCCAGTGCAGTCTTCGAGTGTGAGAGGGAGTGGTGTTTACTCAGCCCATCCCTTTCCCCTTCGCTTCCAAGTTACAGGGCTCTGAGTAGGGCCTCCCCAGCCACCATGTCCCCCTCAACAGGCTGCAGTCAGAAGCCAGTCTTATTTGTCTGGTGGCTCAGGGAGAGGACAAAAAGAGTGACTGCTCGAGTCCTTGAGTGTCTCATTGAGTGGACCAATTTGTCTGTATTCTATTCCCTTAGACCTGGTCCGGTTGCTCCTGATCTCAGCTCAGTGAGGACTTGATAGGAGATTTAGGCTGCGATTACCATCTTTGTTCAGTAGGACCTTCTCCTAATATGGAAGTCATACTTGCCCTTTCTCTTAACAATCAAGTTAACCTAGACAAACCTATATTCATGCTCTGGATCTTTTGAAAACAAAACCAAAACAAACAACCCCTACAAACTAACAAACAAACAGTAAAATCCATTCCTTTCCTAGCTGTCTGATTTTTGTATGTGCAGAATCACCTTTTGTAACCTTAAAATTCAACATGATCAACCAGGAATAGGGGTGCACACCTAAAATCCCAGCACTCTGAGAGGCTGATGTAGGAAGATCACAAGTTTGAAGCCATCCTGGGCAATTTAGCTGCTTAGAAAAAAAAAATCAGCATGATCTTTAAGGAAGTAGGTTATGTCTTAAAGGATGGAGTTGTGGGGAAATCATGGCTGTTCGCTATGGGCTTTGAAAAAGGAATCCAGATTAGGTTTGGAGCTTCCTCTGTCTCCTGGAGAGCCCTGGCTTCCTTTCTCTGGAATGTAGGAAACATTTTCCCAATCTCTTCTGTCTCTTGGAAGCTTTGAGGGGACACTTTTAGTCATATGGGAGTCAAAGGACACACAACATGATTTGAATAAAAGTTCATTTATTTTTTCATAGTTAAAATCTGCTATGAAGACAGACAACATAACATTCCCAGAGGAATTGAATTAACTTCTCGTTAAAACTGAGTTCTATTAGAACCAAATTTAGGCTACTATAAATAACACTTGAGCCACAGCTTTCAAGAATGAAGTGGTTGGAGGATGAGGTCAGGGGAATCCCTCTGAGCCACTGGATAGACAAACATCAAAGGAGCTCTCTGGTTTCTCTTCCTAAGAGGGAGAGGGTCTGCAGCACTCTGGGAGCTCCATGCCCAGACACTAGAGAAATTAGAGGGAGGTCATAGAAAATAGCTCACCAGCTAGAAAGGATGGTCCTGCCTGGAATGGAAGCTTTAGTCAGCTCCCTGAGGAACATTTTTTTCCCTTATATAAATTAAAATTTCTTTTAAAACACTCAAGTACCATAGGGTGATTCTCCTATGAAACAGCTTAAAACAGGTGAAAATAATAAATACTGAAAACATTATATTATCAGGCTTCTTTCTAAATAGTTCACAGAGAAGCTCAGTAAATAAATAGGAATGAGTAATAAATATTCTAGGAGAGAGGTACAATGGGATTTCCCAAGGAGCTAGTTCAGGTAGCTCAGAATCCTGGATTGGATTTTGAAGTTCTCCAAGTTAGGACCGAGGTCTAGTTTGTTAATTTCCTTGTCATGTAGGCTTCTATGTAGTTGATGAAGATGTCAAACTCACTCATGGCTTTGTAGACGCCTTTCTCTTGGAGCTGTGTAGGGAAATAAACACACTGTTGGCAGTCTGTCAGAGAGTCAAGGGACAGTCTTGCCCTCCGATGTTGGGAAGTAAATTGTGGGAACCTAAAGAGGCACAGCGTTAAGCACAACCAGCAGTAGGAGGAGCATATAGTGTACGCTGTCACCCTCTAAATGTGCCGTCTCAACATTTTTAAAGGTCATGTGTTCATTCTGTGCTTATGCAGAATTTGATGAAAAGATACTGGAGGAAGCAGTTTGAAAGCGAAACAGGGAACCTTTTTTATGTTTATCCTCTCCCAACAGTCTGAGCAGCCTCTGCCGTGGCACTGTGGCCCACTGTCAGGAGACTCCTGCCCCATGATGTCGGAGCTGCTCAGTGTCTGTCCCTGACCTATGAAAGGTACATAAACCACAAGGCTTCTGGGAAATTAGGTATAGGAGTTCACAGGCCATTGGAAGTGTGAAACCCCACTTGCTATGGGAAGTTGGTATTCTCAGGTACCTTTGGAGGGGCGGATGGAAAATGAGCCTTAACTAATTCTAGGTAAGTGGGAATTCTGCTTCTTGATCATTCTGAGTTTGGGCGAGTCTAGACTGAACCCCAGATGGGTCTGCGTGTGCTCATGCACGTGTCAGCTTCCTGCACGTGCGGGTTCAGCTTGGACTCCCAACAAGCACTTTCTGTACTTTCTGTTTCCTTTGTCACTCTCCCCGTGCCTGGCTCACTGACTAGGCCAAAAGCCTGCAAAGGCAAGGAGCAGTCATTTAGAAACCCCAAAGACACTTCACAGAAAGCAAGTAGACTGGAGACGGCAGCTCCTCATTGGCTAAGGGGTCACACCATTTCTCAGGTTCCCACACTCTGTCTCAGTGCAGGACAGGCCTGCCGAGCACCTGTCACCCTCTGTCCTCTGGGGAGTGGGCTGAGAATCTGCCACCATTCGTGCTTACCTTATTAAACGTATTTTTCACCTGCTCCACCGCCTTGCTCTTGTTTTCACAGGGAAGAAATCGATGCTGCACAAGGAAAGAGAAAGTATCAGTGACCCTGGCTCCTGGCTTTCCTTTTCATGGCACTTGGGAGAGACAAGCTGGTAGTAGGAAGCGGGGCCCAATTCATCCAGAATGCCTGTCCCTATCCCCTTCCAGGGAGAACTGAGCCCAGCCAGATCCTCACTACTACCCAGAGGACAGAGAGGAAACAGTCAAAGATGTGAAATGTCTGTCTCTTGGTGCCACTTAGGGAGATGGCAAGGTTTGGATGAGAACCTGGCTCTTGGCTTCCCCTCCCAAAAGCCCTACTGCCTTTTTGTCTCTGTTCTCATTTAATCTCAAGGACCACTGTTAAGCATCTGGGGAATGGAGACACAGTCTCAGCGACGGGACAAAGCCTCATGCAGAGCCCTGTTCTGGAAGCAGACACCAATTGACTTTCGGATTTCTTAGCGAGAGCAGAAGAGCACTGGCAGTCATTGATGGAGAAGTCAATCATCTGGGGCAGTTACTCATGGATACACTCTAGGTACCGGAGACCGTGACCCTTCTGAGACCCCAGGGACCATCATGTCAGCTGGGTGTTCTCCCTCATGGTGCTGCTTTCCAAGAAGTGTGAACAGGTGAGTGGTGTACCCTCCTCTACCTGGGAGCCCCAGCTCCCAGTCCAGGACCTGGGTCCAGAGGTGAGGGCGCTCTGGGCCCCTTTCACAAAGAGAGAGGGGAGTCGTTAATAACCCACAAATGACTCACAAATAACAGGAAAGCTATGTGCAAATCTTCACATGTAAATGCCTGGCAGCCACCCCCACCCCTGCTTAGAGAGAAATGAGCAAGAAATCAGACTCTGGCGCCCTTCTGAATTCACAGCCAGCCCTGATGGCCTCGGTCTGTGTGCACCTTTGGCTTTGCCTGGCCCTGCTGGGTATGGGAGATAGATACTGAGGACAGCAAGTGAAAGACGTAGTTTGCTACTCACACAGCGTCGCAGCCGCAGCCTGAGGGTCTTCAGCTTTTCCCCCAGGGAGCTTACATGTTCCTTGATGTCTGGGTCATGATTTTCTGCCTTGGGCATCACCTCCACTAGATAAAACTGGATCATCTCTGACAAGGCTTGGCAACCCAGGTAACCCTGAGGACAGGAGCCAAAGTGACAGTGAGGATGAGCAGCTACCGTGACAGGGACACCCTTGTTCCCAGGGACCCTTCTTAGCCAGCTGCTTCCCCAGGACAGAGGCGCTAACCCCTGGGTGTAGGCTATGTGCTGAGTTAAGGTCTTCCCATTCCCACTTCTCCTTTTCAGATCAGAGGAAGCAGACCAGCTCCTTGCAGTCAGAAGCAGCCTCCCTTCCCTAGTCACACTGTGTATTCCCCCCACCCCAGCCCAGGCTCACCTTAAAATCCTCCAGCAATGACTTGTTTAACAGCACGTTGTCCAGCTGATCCTGTGTTTGCTGTGAGAACAAAAGGCAAGTGAGCTGGAGGTTTGGGGGAAATCCCTGAAGCATGTGTCTTTCGGATGCCCTTTTTTGTATACTTTTTTGATTTGTAATCCCTGTTGCCCTGGCCCAGGAATCAAAAGGAGAGTTTTAAGAGGATGCAGTGTGCTGCAATCAGTAGTTAAATCATGTCCACTACTTGGGACAAAGTTATTTAAGAAATCTGGCCAATTTGGATGAGAAGGCAGAAACCTGACTCAGTCCTGGTCTTCTTTCTGCAAAGCCACTTCAGGCTTGAAGGAGCCACCCATGCCAGCCCTCCGGTCCTTAAGCTCCTCTGCATGGCTGGCTCTCTGCATTGCTTTTTCCTGTTGTGGACGTCCAGCTCCAGCACCAAGAGTACTCTGGGGAGGGGAGCTCCTCACAGAGCCAGTTTCCCCATGCATTGTGCTGCCCTAAACCTCAGTATTTCTGGCCTGGACACTCTCCAAGAAAAGGCAATGCATGTTTTCCTGCCACATGATAAGGGGGAGAATCTTCTCCTCCAATCAGACCTGTCTTCATTTCTCTCAGCCAATAAAGTACCAAACTCCAAGGAATCCTACAGAAAGCTTCTGAGCATAGGTGAGGCAGTGCATTTATCTTGTAGGCAGATTTTCCTGCACATTTGCTGCATAATCCCAGTTTAGCTTAATACACTAATCTTCTGTCTTAATCTGGGTCTCTCTTAAGAATTTAAATCTGAGGGAGATGAGTGTAGGAATTGAGGGGGAAGAGGAGGAAGGAAAGAAAAATTTTTATAGCTTCAAAAGGATGCCCAGTGCAGGTAGTGCCAGGATGGAATAAAGGGCAGGAGGGTGCGATACTCACAAAGAAAGTCTTCACCCTGCCAAAGGCAGCTCGGAGCTCTCGAAGCATGTGGGGCAGGCCGGCTGGGAAGTGGGCACAGCTGTCCTCAGACTGGGTGTTCGTGCCTTGGCTGGCCTTGACCCCGGCCAGTAAGACCAGGCAACATAGCAGCGCTGAGCTGGGCATGGCGGAACTCTGCCTCCTTCTTCGAGGCTGCCTTGTGGTTTGGTTTTGCAAGAGCAAGCCCCTGATGTATAGACCTTCTCTCTCATGTCCCCCTTTTATATTGTGGCTCAGTGAGGCCTCCCCATTGATGAAGCCACAGGCTCAGATTTCCTGGCAAGGTTTTTTTTTTTTTTTTTTTTTTACTTAAGCCCCTCCCTTCCCTAGACCTCTCCAATTTTGCATTCGTTGAAGTTAAATTTTAAGATTTTTGCATCGTAAGCAAAAAGACTCAAAAATGAACTTCTGCATTAGTATAGCTATTTTTAGACTGGGCTATACCTCTCTCTCTCTCTTTAAAGTAATTTTTTCAGCTTCTCAATTAAAAAAAAAGTTGATTTCCTGGGGAGAACAGCTGTTTGTACGCAGAGGCCTACAGCTGTAAGTTCCAATCTCGTGCTCCTAGGTCACAGTGACGTGGACACACTGGCCATCCCAGGACGTCCTGGGATTGAGAAATCATTAGGTCTCCCCTTGACCTATGTGGAGTACCAAAGAATTCTGCTTGCTGACTGGGAAAGTCACCTTAGTTCTCTGGGACTCAGTTTCCTCAAGGTGAAATAATGGGTGGGTTAAATATCCTCAAAGCTCCCTTCTAGTTCTTTCATTTTATGTTCCAGGACTGTCCCTTGAAGACACTGGCTCCTGACAGAACAGGCAGGGTCAGAGATGGCCTCTAGCTCCTTCTAGGACGGGACCTCATTGCGGTTCCCAGGTTCAAGCTTCTACCTCCTCCACTCTCCCGGCTGGGGTAGTTAGGAAGCAGCAGCTCCACTCTCCAGATGCTATGTCACCTGGCTGCCGGGGGAGGGCAGTGCCCTGCTCTTCACAGTCTCACTGGGTGAACCAAATGGGACTTTTGGTTTCTTCAGCTTCTGTGTCTGGAGCCTGTAGCTTGAGCTTGTAGGTTGAGGAGGAGGTCAAAGTAGAAATAAGGAAATCCAGCCAGGATTCCCAGAAGGCTGGATGAAAGGGCCTTTTCTGTCTTCTTCTCTGTCCTTCTCCTCTTCCCAAAGAAGTCCTCGGAATGCAGGCTCGGGTTAGCACGTGTGCGTGTGTATGCCTGGTGGGCCTCCGGGTGGGCTTGGGGTGTAGGAGGGTCACTTGACCTTCAGTTAGGGAGCACTGGCACTGGGAGTTCAGGATTTGTGCAGGTACTGAGAAAGTTTCTGGGGTTCTTTGATTGTGCCTAACCCTCCTCCCCTCCCTACTGCTGCCTCTGGGTCTTCTCCCACCACTCCAGTTTAGAGAATCAATGGGACTCTCTGGCCTGGGTTTGCCACTTTATATTTAGGTCAAGTCACTTGTCCTCCCTGCATGTTTTCCATCTGACCCAAAGGAGCAATGGTACCTGTCCTCTTGCCTGCCAAGGGGCTTTGTGCTTAAGTAGCAAGTGGACCTAAGTGGAGTGCAGCCCACAGTGTCTGTGATTTCCTCACTTTCCTGCATGACACTGGGCCTCTCTACTGCCACTGGAGGAGACTGTAGTGCCAGGGCGAGGGTGCAGAGCTACCCCCTGGGTCCAGCCAGTCTAGAGTGAGCAGGAGGGAGAGGTAAGAGGGTCAAGGCCCATCTGTGAACTCACCTGCTGTGCCGATTTGTGGATCAGGAGTTGAGCACTGTGGCCTTTCCTCCCAACACTTTGGGTAATGTTGGTGCCAAACAGTTGCCAAGGGGAAAAGAGCTTTCCAGAAACTGGAATGGTGCTAAATTCAGAATTGCTGTTTCTACCGGGTTCAAGAACGGTGGGCTGAATTCTATAGTCTGCAACCAGGGATAACCCCAGGGCTGGAGTTCTCCCCACTTCTGTCTTTCTCATTTCTCCTTGGCTTCTGGCTTTCCTGGGCTGTGTCAGCCACACTTGGCAGGACCTGGATGTTTTGGGGTAGTTGCAGCTCTTCAGATCACCAGCTTGTGGTCTGAATCCTAGGTGAGGTTATGCTGTGAGGTTTTCCCTCATTCAGGTAGACTCGTCCTCCCCATGGCTTCCCTGTGATGCCCTTTGCTCACCCCATTGTGAAATCTACAGCTTTTCTTCACTGTCATTCACGTGAATTCTTTGTCTTGCCCAATCAGCCACAAGCTCCTTGAAGAGGATGTTGTCTTACTAATCCTTGAGTACCTGGCAGGCAGCCCTGAGTCTGACCCACAGGAGGTGCCCGTTGCATTTGGGATTTGCATAGCAGAATGCTCTGCGAGCCTGACTAGGGCAAGGGATGGACCATCACAAAGGCTGGTGCCGGGCACAGGCAAGCACTCAGAGGAGCAAAGAGGACTTCGGGAGGACAGGCAGCACTTCTTGATTCTTACATTTCCTTCTTATAATTCAAGGTATATATGAAAACACACACGTATATCACAATGGTGGGGAGAAGGGAGCGGGGTAAAAGCAATTTTTGTATTTCTTTAATTTATTACTCATTAAATAGGGTAAGTTGAGGATTTGACTTCTTAGTTTGCCATGAAATTATCTCTGCCATTTATCCAGACAATTTTCTCCAGCCATTTGTGAGTAGTTGATTCTTTCCCCCCACTGACTTGAAGTCTTTGTTTATTATCACCCTAGAATTTCATAATCTCAATGGTTAGACATACCCCCAGGGAAGTTCCTTGATGCAAGTCCTTATTTAACCAGTGGAGATACTCTCTCTGCTGTAATACATCTCCTAGATATCATGAGATAGGTACACACACTTAAAATTAAGTGAAGACTGTGTGCTTTTATAAAATAACAAGACAGGGCCAGGGATTTAGCTCAGCAGTGTAAGCACCTGCTTGGCAAGGGCTAGGTTGTGAGTTCAATCCCTGGTACCAAAGAGGAAAAAAAAAAACCCAAACAAACAAACAAACAAACGGAAGTTAAAACAACAAATAAAACAACAGGACAGGGAATTTGCGTGGTCTGAGGCCGTGTGCTAGCACAGGTGATGCCTATATCTCAATGGTACAAGCAAATCTCTTCATCTGAAAGTCCACTGGGATGCACTGGGGAAAGTTTCAAACCTCCAAGCCATACCCAAGAGACATACGTGCCAGCAACTGCGTTTTAAGGGTTTGAGTTTGGGTGTCAGTAGAAGGGAGGAACTATGCAGGGGAGGAAGTGAGGGAGTGTGTTGCTGATGGATGTGTGTTCACCTACTGTCGTTTGTTCCTGTGAGTTCAAGAGGACACAGTCACTGCTCATCAGATTGTGAATTCCCTGAGAGCAAATTGCTTGAGTTTGACCTCCAGTTCAGGTGCCTAGCAAGTGTCTAGTAAATGCTTATGAAGTTGAATATTAATCAAACTTTCCAGCGGAAACACAGTGGGAAATCAGAAAAAGGTTAAGAGGAACAAAGTTTTCTTGTGTCCCACTCCAAAATATTCCCTGATATCTGACTCCAGCTGCAAGTGAAAGAAAATCTTACTATGCATGGCATTAAAAAGGAAGAGAAGTCCGGAAGCTGGCAGTCTAGGGCTGGTATTATATTCTTATGTCAGCCAGGACCTGTGTTTTCTTCCCTCCAAAATGTCAGAAAGAGGGGAAGTGACGAGGTCCCAGTCCTAAGCCACATCAGCCCAGGAAATCCTAATAATCTGTTGGGAGGCTCCAAGCAGTAAGTTTCATCATTTTAACTACAAAAGAATCAGGCAGCTAAAAACTCTGTGTGTGTGTGTGTGTGTGTGTGTATGTGTGTGTGTGTGTGTATGGTAGGAATGGATTTTTGGATTTTATCTATGGTGCATAAGATCTTACAAGGAATCCACTTTCATATTTGGAAAAATGGCAGTCCTCTTGTTATGGCAGCCCTGAGCCTTGCTGCAGCTCTGCACCTGTCTCCTGAGTGGAGAACAGGCCGAGTGCCCTGGCAGGTGGCACTGGAGCTGCAAAGTGTAGGCTAAGGAGTCCAGGCTTGCGGGACTCTGGGCTCAGCCAGCTTACCCAGAAATGGGGTCAGTATGGGGAGCCAGCAGGTCAGGGATGTGGGCAGGGAAGGTGGGATTGTGGTGTTGCGTTCACCTGGGGGAATGGGAACAGCTGTGCCGATGCAGAATGTTTTGGAGGCTCAGCTCCTTCTGCCATTAGTAGTTATTTTTTAAAGCCTGATAATGGAAGTTTCATTTCTTGTTATCTAGGGCAGTTAGTGTGTAAAATAGTTTTGCTATCTTGAAATAGCTAGTATTCCCTTGAGTGACCTTCCTTAGCTCCCTGGGCACTGACTTTCTTGGGGATTTTGCTACAACAGACCCCATGAGCATCACACACAGGAAGTGTGGCTGGGTGGGGGCCTGGAGAGAGGGCTCTGAGGGCAGTGCCCTCCTCTGGGCTCCTCTGGCTTTGGCCTGGTGCCTGGGGTACTTCAGAAAGGAGTGGTGGGTCGGAAATTTGAGAGGAGCCTGAGCTGGAGGTAGCCCCTAGGTCAAATCTAGCAAGGGTTGTGCAAACTGGATTGGGTGCCCTTCCAGGGATGGTGGCTGTCAGACACTGCAAACCACAGCAGAAGGGCTGATCTTCCCACAGCCAATGCGGAATTCCCCTTTGTGCAACTGTGACACCAAATCAAGCAACTTGGATTTTCTTCTGGGGACAAGCCACTGTGCTGTGTAACTTCTTGTATGAGGAATTTAGCGTCTCAGAGCCTGGACACTGTTTCTGCTATCGCTAAGGCCGCACGGAATCACTCTGGGCACCTGAGCCTGTAGTGCTGATGAAGCTTTTGAAGGCAGAAGTGTTCCCCTGGTGGGGTTCACTTCGCCTGGCATTAAAACCTGACGTATGCAGCAGGGTTGGCTCTGTGAACTTGGAACCTTTGCACTCACACAGAGTCCTGGATTGGAAAGGCCCTTGCTCTGTCCTCCTTGTCTTGAAGTTCTTAATAACTGTTGACCAAAATGCCCCTACTGTCTTCACTTTGCACCAGGCCCCGGGGTCACTTCGGTGACTGAATCTGAGACTGAGGTCGTCATCATCTCTGCTTGGTATCCCCTTCATCTGGTGCTCCCTGATTCAGCAAATGTCATCTAATGCTAGACATAATTTGTTGGTTCTTTCT